GCGAAAGCGGAGAAATTTAGGTCACCAAGAACGGTGGCTTCGATACCATGTAAAATTATAAAGAACGCTTTATTGATTGAATGAATAGAAGAGGAATACAAGATATGTATTTATAGGTGGAGGAATATATTCTAGAATCCTCCACATTAAATACTAATTATATAAGGTAATATTATATAATAATAACTCTAACTATAATAGGTAACAACCATAATTATAATATATAATATTAAATATATTAAATATTTGATATATTTAACAAATAATAATAATAATAATAATAATAATATAATAATAATAATAATAATAATAACAACAACAACAACAACAATTAATTTAGCATTTTAAGAAAGATGAAGTGTTGTAAAGTCACACTATCCTCATATGACTCTATCGTGATATCATTTTAAAATTGGGACAATTACGTTATTCCGAAAAATTGACGGTTCTTACTCTCTTCTAAATTCGCCACATCAACATAACTTCACCCATCCTTCGCCCCAGCCCCCATCCTGGATCACTGATTTGGCAAATGTTTAATTTGCCAAATCGACAATCTAAGGTTGGGAGACCGGGGTGTGAGCGTGAGGTGAAATTGCTATCGGGATTTAGAAAGTAAAAAGATACTCCCTCAGTCCCTAAATAGATTATAATTTTTTTTCTCTCTCCTCTTGATACCTTTTGTTTGTTTACACGATTTCATTAAGTATTTGATATAATAAAATACTCTTGTCACCTCTTGTTTTGTAGAACTTTTGACGTAGTTTTTAAGTAAATTCCATAAAAGGTCCCCAATTATAAGTCGTTTTACATATTTAGTCCCTACATATCAAATATTACTAATTTAGTCCCCAATTATTATATTCATTTTCACGAATGGTCCTTTGTTAACATTTCCGTTAAGAACGTGGATAAAATTGTAAATTCACACTCCTTTCTCTCCTCAATTAAGCTTCCTCCCTCCCCTCGCACTCCTTTCTCAAACCCGTCGCTGAGTTTGAAGCTTTGAACCTAAACAAAAATCATCACTCTTCTCTCAATTGTTTGTTGAACTGGTGGAATCCGAATTCGAAATTAGTAACCTTCATGGATGAGTTTTAATATTTATTTTCTTTGTAATTTCTTGAGACTAACTCATAAAACTCATCCATAAAGTCTATTGGTTTTGACTTTAGGTTCCACTAGGAAGACTAATAATTGAGAGGGGAATGATCATTTCAGTTTTAGGTTTAGAGCTTCAAACTCAACGACGAGTTTAGGAAAGAGTACGAGAGGAGGGAGGAAACTCAATGAAGGAGAGAGAGAAGTATAAATATACAATTTTATCCATGTTCTTAAGAAAAACGTTAACAAAGGACTATTCGTGAAAAATGATATAATAATTGGGGACTAAATTAGTAATATTTTATATATAGGGACTAAATATGTAAAACGATCTATGAATGGGGACCTTTTATGGAATTTACTCGTAGTTTTTTAATATGTAATTTTTATATCTTATTGATATATCAATTTGTAAATAAAATGATTTTAAAAAGTAAAAAATTTTACTCCGTAACCCGCAATTTGTAATCAAATTGGGACGGAAGAAGTAATAAAATCAATTTCATGAATGAAATATTGCATGTTTTCCTACTATTATGATGTCACAAAATTACATCATTTGATAACGTGTAAACTATACCATTCTCTTCAGCTAAAGTATACAAGTTTTTTTTGAAAACTATTCAAAAGTAATTTAGCTTCAGTTAATATGATAAGCATAAGATAGTACGGAGTAATTTTTTTAAATTAAAACTACTACGTATTTTAGATCCTTCTTTAGAATAAAAAAATGTCACTTTTATTTAAGAATAAAAGCTATGTTTTGGTACGATCAAAGATAGATTTCTAAATTCTTTTCATCTTATGTATGTATCGAACCTTTGACCAACATAATACTTACTCCGTCCCAAAAATTTGTTCATGCTTTAAAAAAATTGTGTCACTTTATGAAAACAATACCTATGGTGAGATCCGTTTGAAAAATTAATGATTTTTATCTCTTAACCCTCTGCTGCCTCTTCCCA